GAGTACCAGTGCCGATACTCGGCATTTATGAGAACTACCAGGGTTGCAGAGGTGGCAGCTGGGACCGGGCTCTGGCGCTCCTCCGCTGTCCTGAAATCATTAGTCTGTATTGTTTTAGAAAAACTGTCACATGACAATAAACAAAAATGTATCAGTACTCGTACTTGCAAAACTGGTATCAGTGCATCCCTTTATTTATATTTATAAAAACAAAATCGTACATTATACAGAGATGTAGAAATCCCGGGAGCTCCGTGTGCTGCTTACAAATGTATCGGTACATGTACTCGTACTTGTACAGAGTACTGTACTTGGTATCTGTGCAACCCTAATAACAACCCAGCTGGCATTTCTTTTGTTTCAGGAGGTTGTTAATTGAGTATTAAATAATAAATGATAATTCAATCATAATTAAACAATTAATAAATTGATAAATACATAATTGCATTATCTTCTAAAATCATCCTCACAGCACAATACTGAGCACTGTACAAATAATGAAGTTCAATGTACTCACCCTTATAGTAGAACACTGAAAGAAGAAGAAGAATAGCAACAGTAATAAGAAACAAAATAGAAATAATAATAAAAATATGTTGACGTCTTCTGGAATTTCCGATGTCTGAAAGAAATCAGAGAAGGATATCGGGGTTAGACCTCACGGGCTGAGTCACAGTTTATTGCGTCCTACTAATAATACAAGATGGAAATAAAATCCTCGGCATGAAGGACCCACCGCAGAAGGTGCCCCCAGACTCCCAGACCTCATCATTCAACCCCCCAATACTATACTGAAGTGTGGGAAGGTCATGGAAATCCATGCACCGAGCTATGGCCTGGCCACTATGAAACCGAAACCGGTCCTGAAGGATCCCCCCCAAATGTCAGCCAAGAACGATGGCAGTGGCGGACCTAAGAAACAAAGGGCTCTGGTGCAAGATTTTTTTTATGCCCCCCCCCCAGCTCTTAAAATCCCCACACTGGCCACCTGAGAGTCCCCACTGGCCACCTGAGAGCCCCCACTGGCCATCTGAAAGCCCGCACTGGCCATCTGAAAGCCCGCACTGGCCACCTGAGAGCCCCATTGACCACCTGAAAGCCCACACTGGCCACCTAAGAGCTCCACTGACCACCTGAGAGCAGAAAAACAAGCTCAGGGCTCCCACTGATTCTGCTATATGGTGACTTTTATAATAATTTCATTATATATTACAGTGTAATAATAATAATAATAGAAATAAAGTACAGCAATGCAGAATGGAGCCGGCTATAGAGGACTACAACTCCCAGCAATACATTATACAGCAATGCAGAACGGCACCAGCTATAGAGGACTACAAATCCCAGCAATACTTTATACGGCAATGCAGAATGCCTTTGGCTACAGAGGACCACAACTCCCAGCAATATTTTCTACAGCGCTCGCAATTCTGCATTGCCGTAAAAAGTATTGCTGGGAGTTGTAGTCCTCTATAGCCGATGTCATTTTGCACTGGTGCAAATGCAGAATGGCACCAGCTTTTGTTTATTTTTATAGCTGTCCGACAGGAAGTGATGTCTCAAACAGGAAGTGATGTCTCAAACAGGAAATGATGTCTCAAACAGGAAACCAGGAAGTGATGTCTCAAACAGGAAACCAGGAAGTGATGTCAACAACCAACATCACTTCCTCAATACATAGCCAGTCAACAAAGCACATATACATAGAAGAAAAGGGAGTGTATGTCTGTATCATAGTAGAAGCGATGTGCATAGCCCACAGACCCGTGTGCACAGACGCATGTTTTTCCTAGCTGCCATCTTTCCAGACCCACAAATACAATCTCCCATTACCACTGGAGCGAACCTTATCCAGCACGGCTCAATGCCCAATAACGTTACTATGATTCCTATGAATGGAAGCTTATCTGCAGGGACAACGCCATACTATCTCCAGCGCGCTGATCAGACGCATCAGAAATACGAACGCACGTTCCTTTCATAAAGGCGGATATGTATCTTAAATAATACTATGTCCTCAAAGCAAGTTGTATACACGCCAAGCCAATAAATCCGCGTTATGCGCAGGGGCCTTAGCTTGGCGTCCACACACTCGCTAAGAAAGCACTGCTCCGCCACGCGTAAGATATCTACTCCAATGGTTTAACCCCAGCGCTGATTAAAATCCGGGTCACGCTCCAATCGAGCATGACGCAGAAATCCCGACACTGAGACATGATGACAATATACTAGAACACATCCTAGTAAAATTTCCACAACCCTATAGAGGACTACAACTCCCAGCAATACTTTATACATAAATCCAGAACATTTCCATCAGTTACAGAGGGATACAATGTCACAGAGCAGTTACCTCGTTTGCCTGACCTCGCGGTGGGACCAGGGAGAGGTGGTGGGCTCTGTACTCGCTGGGTCCTCCCGGGCCGAGGCCCCAGCGCTGCCCCGTAGTCTGCAGCACATGTATTTTCGCCTCTCGGCTTCATCCTGGCACTCTCCTCACTTCCGGGCGCAGGCGCCCCCCACCGTCTCTTGCCGCGGTATACTGGGCTCGTGCCTGGGGCTACTGGGCCCCCTTAGGCTCAGGCCCTGGGGCAGCCGCACCGGCTGCACTGGCGGCAGTTCCGCCTCTGAACTATGGGTACCTCAGGGGTGTCTGGATTTATGTGTCATATCTCTTCACGTCAGCGGATGATAATCTGTAACAGATTTACAAAATACTGGAAATCACAGGAAACTGTCTGAGCTGACGACTGACGATGTATACATTATTTTCTCTTGCATTTCTTTTTCCATCCATTTTGATGAACTGGACCGTTCGTATTTATCCACTTTCTGCACAACTACAGCAAAACGGTGACCCGTGAGTAACAGTACACCATACAAGTCTTTGTTCACCAATAACAAGCTAATTATATCTGCTGGACATAATAATATACACACAGGGCATAACAAGGTCACCCTGAACCTGCAATGGCAACACAAAGGGGTCTATAGTAAATTAATTTGCACTGCGAATATCTGTGAACGTTCATTCAGTGTGGATATATGCCAAAATGAACATTCTTTAGTTGTTACTTTAGAAGTTCCATTTCTGAATGTCCCCCCCCCATGTAATATCACATTATGACCACTAGATGGCGGTGATAACCATAGAAAATACACTATACAGTATTACCAAAAGTATCGGGGCCCCTTTACACGCACATGAACTTTAATGGCATCCCAGTCTTAGTCCGTAGGGTTCAATATTGGGTTGGCTCCGCCCTTTGCCGCTATAACAGCTCCGCCTCTTCTGGGAAGGCGTCCACAAGGTTTAGGAGTGTGTCTATGGGAATGTTGGACCATTTGTGAGGTCAGGTACTGATGTTGGGGGAGGGGCTCGCAGTCTCTGCTCTAATGTATCCCAAAGGTGTTCTATGGGGTTGAGGTTGGGACTCTGTGCGGCCAGTCACGTTCCTCCTCCCCAAACTCCTCCATCCATGTCTTTATGGACCTTGCTTTGTGCACTGGTGCGCAGTCATGTTGGAGCAGGAAGGGGCCGTCCCCAAACTCCTCCCACAAAGTTGGGAGCATGAAATTGTCCAAAATGTCTTGGTGTACTGATGCCTTAAGAATTCCCTTCACTGGAACTAAGAGGCGGAGCCCAACCCCCGAAAAACAGAGTTGGCGACTTCTGTGCGCTTCAACATGCGCTGACCCCGCTCTGTCATGTGACGTGGCCGACCACTTCCTGGCTGAGTTGCTGTTGTTCCCGGTTGCTTCCACTTTGTTATAATCCCAGTAACAGGCGACCGCGGCGGAATGTTTAGTGGCCAGGAAATGTCACGGAACACCTGAATCCAATGATTTGGAGGGGGAGGGGCCCAATACTTCTGGTAATATAAAGTATTTTTTGCACATGTCAGATATAACAAAACACTTTTAGTGGTATATTTAGGGGGTCTAATAGAAACATTTCCCCCAGAAACCCCCAGAACATGCATACATGTAAAAATACAGGCACCTAGGACACATGTATGTAAATGCACTATGCACTAAAATTCTGGAGACAAATTTTTTTTCAACTACCGTCTTTTTATTCTACAGGTTCTCTGCATTGAGAAAACATAAGAGGTTTTTTCTTACCTGTAAAATCTTGGCGTACATCACAGGTCACAGGGAGTTAAATCTTGAATGGAAGCAACGTCCAAGAGCGGTCCATTAGAGGGGCGGCCAACACAGCAAACAACGGGTAAAAGTCCTCTAAAAACAACAACAACCCCAACAGCGAACAATAACAGTGAGGGGCCACAATTCAGAGGGCGGTCTGAAGAACCTTGAGGCCAAAGCTAGAATCTGCGCGGGCCTGAATGTCCACCTGGTAAAATTTGGCAAAGGTATGAACAGAGGACCAGGTGGCAGCCTTACAGATTTGGGATACCGAGGCCTGATGCTGGAAGGCGCTTTAAAACCGAAGCTCCTGTTACAGCGAGCCGTTACTGGAAGGGGCGAATCTTACCCTTCAACTGTAATAGTCCACTGAGGCCACCTGGCGATAGTGGAATGAAAGCAACTGGCCCAAACGGGGACCTTCAGGAATAAACAAAAGGCTGAGTCAGGCTTGTGGACAGAACCTGCAGCTAAATATACAACAGCCTGCACCCATAATGGTCTCCTGGATAAGGGAGCGTCGCTCCCTTATCCACAGGCCGCTAAGGCAGCAGGCAGATCAGATTCTGCAGGAGAAGGTGTAAAGATACACTTAATGCCTCTACAGTCAGAGTTACCAGTCCGGGTTGCAATTTGTCCTGGGAATTCCGGCATAACTGTGGTGAAATCCTCAAGTGATCCATGCCAAGACTCTGAGGACTCAAGCAGGAGACAACGTTCCAGGCTGTCGGTGTCAGGTGCTCGAGTGGGTGCATAGCAAGTGGACTGAGAGTTGGTGGAACCTACGGGACTACTCCCTGTGTGTCTGCGATCCGACATGTTGTGTTCAAAGGCAGGAGCTGCACTCACGGTTAGGTACTCATGAACATGCTGCTGCGGGAGAGCTTAGCGAGGCCGGCGGTGACCAAGTCATTGTAGATGGACAGCAAAGACCAACCAAGGTGGATGGCTGCGTCACTTGCAACAGAGGAGCCATAGCAAGAAGATGTTCCCTCACACTAAGTGGTGATAACAAAAGAATGAAGCACATGCACCTGAACTAAGTGTGGCATCACTCAGTCCCCTAACGTTTGGGTCACTTCCGATACTCCACCCAAGAGGTCTACTCTCAAAGTGAGTCTTCAGAGACTGGGCCACACCAGAGACCGTGCCACCCCTCTGGATAACTAACATGGTACACTCTCAGGTCTGGAAACCACCATAATGTGGAGCCCAGTGCCCCAAAGACACATTCCAAGCTAGCCCTGCAGCCGTCCAGTTCATCGGGGTCTGTATACGGCCACAAAAGCTATTGCTGAGCATACGCCAATCCGGAGAGATGTACATAGTCCAACATGTAGGTAAGTATAGACAGTGAAGCACAAATCAGCTGTTTTCACAATTGCCAACTGTGTCTCACCTGCATTGTAAGGGATTGTTATAGATTCACTGTCCTCCGATAAATAATTATTTACAGTGCAGGTCAGTACAACATTCTCTTTTGGTCGGGGTGCAATGTAGTCCTGCTGATTAGTAGACACAGTTTCTCCTCTGGTTTGGTCCAGCCATGTGTAGGTCACATTGATGGTGGAGGAGATACAAGACAGGTTAATCTCCTGACTGGAGCTGCTGTCGTAGATGGTGGGCTTGGAAACCCGATCTGTAAGAAAAGAACGTCACATCAGATAGTAATATAGAAACGAGGACCCATAATAATACACGGGGACATGAAAAATAGGTGCTTTCTACACATCAACCAATCACCAGAGGAGAACCAGTAAGGAAGGGGAAGGTGGGGGTCATCCCACGTCAACTGGTCTCAGTGTGGCGCCCCAGATTGAGAGCCCTGACACTACACCTACCACAGCTTAGGCCCCCATGGGAGAGTGAGGAGACATCTTTCCTTTTTCCATGACATGGACCGGCAAGAAGAAGTGAGGACCCCCCTCCTTGGTGGAAAGCCCCCCCCCCCACCTTCCTGTCTGTCCATGTCATGGAGAGATATGCTTTCCTATAGAAAACTCTAGAAATGTGACCCTGTTGCTAAAATAAATACATAAACAAAGAATGTTTACACTCCCCTGCTAAAGAAAACCATCTCTTGAAGTATCTTCAGAATTCAAAGCTTATGAGAATGTCTGTTTACTGATGCCACGTTTCACTCAGTCGTTCCTCCCACCGGCCATTATGTCACAACAGGACACAGGGCATTAGGAGAGGTGAGCATTCACTATATTTTTTTTTGGTGGGGGGGGGGGGGGGTTTTTTTACTTTTTTTTTTTT